ATTGCGGGTAACTCTGCAAAAAACGCATCTTCGCACGGGCAGCCCGTGCGTTGGCCAATTTTTTTTCTTGAAAAAAATTTGGGACAGAACTGTAAAGAAAACTTCAGATTCCATAGCCTTCAATGGTTAGCTGCTTTTCTCGATCAGTTCCTAAATAACTGGAAAAAAAAATATCCTGGGAGCCCACCTCCCCCCCCCCTTCCCTCCCAATAAGTAGCACACATACATAGAACCGGCGGTGGGTACTAGCAAAATCGAAACGTCTGGCATAGTAGCTGCGCATGGCGTGTGGGAGCATTCTAGTAACATCACTAACAGGAAATACCTACACTGATAGGCCGAAAAGTCTTAGTATCCTCGGTAATATCGAAGAACCTCCTAAAATAAGAATTAATTAACTACAGATTATGGAATCACACAGACGATATTCTGAACGTGAAAACTTCCAACAGGTTAACCACCAGGCATGCAGTGTTGATCAAAAACAATTATAAAAGTAACTAGCAGAAAAGTTCATGGCTAAAAGAAGGAGATCCAGAACATGAATTACCGGCTAATCCATGCTTTTAAATATAGACGACATATGCCCAGGCGAATGTAATAGTAGAAATAAGCGAGTTTTGAGAAAGAATACAAAAAAAAATGCAAAAAAAGTACAAAAAAAGGTAGAAATGAGCGAGTTTTGAGGAAGAATACAAAAATGTCAAAAAAAAATACAAAAAAAGAAAAAATACAAAAAAATACAAAAAAAACCCCCCCTCAGTAGAGGAGAGAAAAAATCGTACTGCTGAAAGGTCCCCCATTCTGCGTTCTTTGTCTTATTTCTTCACACGATGGCTCGGGGAGATTCATCTCTTTGTTCCTCTGTTTTTCAAATTTTATTATTACCTGGAAAAAAAAACACTTTATGCGGGACAACTTACTGATTGCAAGTTTTCACGTTTACGATGAAGATTGGTTGTTAGTTGATTTTCCAAACGCAATTTTGTCGATTCCAGCTCCACTCGTGAACGATTTACGGAATCCAATCGCAGCTTTTTTTCTCCAATATTTTCCTGTAAACACACAAAAATTTCATCCAAAAACAAAGAAGGAAACTCGAATTTTTTTTTTTTTATAACGAAGCGCAAAATCACAGTGTACCTGAAGCTGGTTGAGCATTTGCTTTTCTTCTTCACTCAATTGCGACATCAGTGGAGTTCCAATCTGTTTATTCAGACTTTCTGCCGTTGCTTCCACTTCTCGAATTCGATTTTTCAAGTAAACGCATTGTGCAATCTGTTAAAAGAAAAAACAAACAAGCTTTTTCAAATTTCAAAATTTTTTTCGAAATTCTGCAATCAAAATTTGCAATCAAAATTTCAAATTCAAATTCAATTTCAAATCAAAATTCAAAAAAATTCAAATTTCAAAAATTCAAATCAAAAAATTCAAAAAAAAATTGCAAAAACACAAAATTCAGGGCTACCTATAGAGTTTTTCTCGCTCTAAAACTACAGAAAGTACATGACAATTTTAATTTTGCATGTTTTCCTTCTTTCTGTACGTCTCAAACCCGTATTTTAATATATCTACTGAAAAAAAAAATGCAAAGTTATACCCATCACTAATAAGTAAACGCAAAAATAGGAAGAACCAGACAAGATAGAAAGGCTTTTCCGCTGATTTTCGAATTTAGCACTGCTTTAATAAAATAAATAAATAAAAATAGAGCGAATTTACAAAGCCCTACTACTTAAATAGATAAAGACACTATACGTTTAGAAGTCCAAAATTAAGACCTAACAATGCTTCAATAAGCCAATATCATAAAAATTCAACGTGTCAAAAGAGGGTATCCGGGATAATTTCTTCGTAAAACATTGCACATACTTTTGGCTCCCTGTTTTTCATGCTCTGCTGCAACTGCTGCGACAGGAAGCGCTTCTTTTCGGAAGCAGTTCTGTGTTTATCCCTGAAAATCATGAATTTAGCATCCAATCATTGTCAGGTTCTTCAACAACGGTGCTTAGTAGTAAGTCAAATGCTGTAGAAATTTTAGAAATGCAAACAGTGAATATTCTTGGCAAGGAGACTGGAAGAGAACGTGGGCCTGAAATCCTCTATGTGTTAACATATGCAGTTTGTCTGGCGTTATTGACCCACCGTGGAGAGGAACACAAATGAATTTTGATAATTAGTGAAAAACTTGAAGTGGCATTTAGATCGCCCAAATAAGGAAACCCGTGTGTGCAGTAAGCCAGTCTGTGTTTCATCCCTGAGCTGTAAACACAACTTGCAATTCGCCGACGTCCGGTGTGTTTTCTGAGTTTTTCTGCCAAATTACTCTAGAAACTATGAAATTCCGTCGAATTACTCGAAAAACTGTGCAATTCCGATAGACTCAAGCGCAGTTCACCTCGTCTGCTTACCAACATACTAATGATTAATCAGGATACAGAATTATGATTCTAGGGAGTTTACTTATTTTCAATTTCGTGCCTTATTTTTTCACGTTTCTGATAAACGGTAGTTTGTGAGTGCTATCATTCCCTCGCTTTAATCCAGATCCTTACTGATATCTATCGACCGCTTATCAACAATGTCTACTAGTTCATTTTCCTCGATATTTTCACAACAGTAGTTCCGGATTTTGTTATTAGATGATTAATGAAAGCTTGTGCTTGCATTTCAAAATCTTACTGAATCTGGTAATTATGTACTATTGCGGATACATGGCGGGTAGGAGGCTGTACTGACGGTTCCCACTCCTAACAGCATGCGTAGTCCGGTC